CCCCCCCCCCCCCCCCAGCTTGGTCTGACCCCCTGCCCCCCCTCGGCACAGGCTGCGGGGTCCGGGAGGGCGCCCAGAGGAGGTGCCCCAAGTGCCACGGCTCGGGGATGGAGGTTCGCATCCACCAGCTGGGGCCCAGCATGATCCAGCAGATCCAGACCGTGTGTTCCCAGTGCCAGGGCCAGGGCGAGTGGATCCGCCCCCGGGACTGCTGCCTCACCTGCAACGGCCGCAAGGTCGTGCGGGAGAAGAAGATCCTCAGCGTGCACCTGGATAAAGGTGAGAGGGGTCACGTGTGGGGTGTGGGGTCACCCCAGAACTGCCCCCCTGTGCCTTGACCCGCCTCTCGTGCTCCCCTACAGGGATGAAGGACGGGCAGAAAATCACCTTCCACGAGGAGGGGGACCAGGTGCCCGGCTTGGAGCCCGGGGACATCATCATCGTCCTGGACCAGAAGGAACACCCCGTTTTCCGGCGCAGCGGCGACGACCTGATCGTCAGGAGGGAGATCAGCCTGGCAGACGCCCTGTGCGGGTGCCGGCAGGTGATCCGTACCCTGGACAACCGCACCCTGCTCGTCTCCTCCCCGCCAGGTGAGGGAGGGGGGCTCGGGAGAGCTTGGTGGGGGGGTGGGCACAGGAGCTGCCAGCGCAGCAGGATGACCCTCAGCTCTGCCACAGGTGATGTGATCCGGCCCGGCGACCTGAAGTGCATCCCCAACGAGGGGATGCCCGTCTACAGGAGCCCCTTTCAGAAGGGAAAGCTCATCCTGCAGTTCGAGGTGAGCTGGAAGGCGGGGGTGGGGGGGGAGATTTGGCATCTCCTAACATTTGGGCTTTCCTTGCATGGCCGCCCCAACGCCTCACACCCCCTGTCTGCTGTCCCCAGGTGAAGTTCCCCGAGCCGGGCTGGCTCCCTGCTGACCGCCTGCGCCAGCTCCAGGCCTTCTTCCCGCCGCAGGAGGAGGTGATGGCCACGGAGGACACGGAGGAGGTGGAGCTCAGCGACTACACGGCGCACGGCGGGCCCGGCCGGCGACCCTACACCGGCGAGGCCTACCACGAGGACGACTTCGAGGATGGCATGCGCCAGCACGTCCAGTGCCAGACCTCATAGCCCGCAGGGGGGGGCCGGAGCCCCCCCGGGCGCAGCCGGGGCAGGGGAGGGGACTCACGGAGCCGCCACGTTCAGGGATGTACATAGGTCGCCTTTCCGACAGCACTTCACCTCCCTCGGCCCCCCCTGCACCGGGAGCCGGGGCAGGAGCCCCCCCGACCCTGCCAGGGTGAGGCCCCCCTGCCCTGCCCTGCCCTCCCCTCAGCCCTGGGGTGTGGGCTGGGGAGTTTGAGGCTGGATCCAGCAGCCCCGTGGGTGGGGGGGGGCCTTGGGGCTGCAGGCACATCCCACGCTGCAAAAGGTCAGCCCTGGCCTGGGGAGGTGGAGGAGGAGGAGGATGGGGGGGGTGCCCCTTGCCTCAGTTTCCCCATCTGCTCCAGTGGGGCCAAGCTTATGCTGGAGCTGGTGTGGGGAGGAGGGGAACTGCCCAGCACCCCCCCGAGCCCCCCCTCGGGGTCCCTGCCACTGCCCCATGGCCCCAGCCAGCCCCACACCGTGGAGGGGTTGCTGCTCGGGCTCCCCCCAGCCCCTTGCTTTGCCCGTTTCTTTTCTTGCTGGAGCCTGGCTCAGGCCCTGGGGCGCAGAGGGGGTGGCTCTTTTCTCTTTGCACATGACAGGAGGGGGTGGTGGGGACCCGTCCCTTCCCTTTAATTTATTTTTGAAAGAATTTTAAAAGTTTTTCCTTTTTTTTTTTTTTTTTTTTTTTTTTTTTTTTTTTTTTTTTTTTTTTTTTTTTTTGTGTTGGGGGGGGTTGGGTGGGTGACTTTGTACTTAGCATTAAACGCGAATCCCAGCTCGGCGTGTGGGGCTGTGTGTGGGGCAGCGGGAGCCCGGGGGTGGTGACTGTGCCCTGCTTTGATCTTGGGTGTGCCTCAGTTTCCCCATCCTTACACAACAGGGTGGTTCCCTGTCCTGCCCCACCCCCGGGGGCTGCTCCGGGCTCCTCCTGCCCCGGGGAGGGGTTTGCCCTCCTTCCTGTCCCGCCCCCCTTCACCGAGCCTGCACCTCCACCCTCTCCCCGCCCCAAGCCCCTTTATCCGCTGTCCCAAAACATTCCTGTGCCTTTACATCCCCCCCAGCTCCTCATCCTGACCTGTCACCGCCCCCAGAGCCCCTTCTTCCATCCCCAGGCCCCCCACCCCTTTGTTATCCCCGCAGACCCTCTGCATCACCTCAGCATCCCTGCAGCCCCCACGATGGATTCAAACACCCCCCAACCCCCCCAAATTGACTCAGCCCCAAAAAAACCCCACTGGGGGCCAAGGTGCACCCCCCCATCCTCCTCCACGTGGAGCTGCCGAGAGTCCCCATCTCAATGGAACAGGGGCAAAGCCCCCCAGCCCCCTGCCCAGGGTATCCATGACCAGGATTGCCTGGGGGGGGTGCTGGGGCTGGAGACTCCCCCTCCCCTCAACCGCTGGAGCCCAGGAAAGCTCCGGCGCCAGATGCAGCTGGAGGGGGAGAGGAGGAGGAGGAGGAGGAGGCGAGAACAATGCTGGCCGGCCGCCAGCCGAGGGGAGCGGGGCGGGGGGCTCCTGCACAGCCCCCAACCCCGGCGGGAGCAGGGAGGGGGTGAACCCGCATAGGAGGTGATTGTCCCCCCACTCCTGGAGCTGCCTGTCCCCCTCCGCCCCCCACACCTCCCTGAGCGGTGTCAGCGTCCCGAGCTGCCCCGAGCCCTGGGGACACGCCAGGGGGATGAACTGAGAGACGGGGACACCCTCGAGGGGCAGGGTCACCTCCTGCCAGGCCGAGTGCGAGGCGCTGCCCCCCCCCCCTCAGGGACAGGGGGCCCTCCGTGCCATGTGCCAGAGCCCACCCCAGCGTGTGGCCTGGTGGCTGCAACGACCCAGCCCTGCCCGGCGTGGGGCCCTCAAATTTCCCCCAAGTGACATTGATATCCTCATCACCCACCCAGAGACCCCCCTCTCCAGGAGAGGGGGGGCTGAGGGGTCAAGACCCCCCCCAAACCTGGCACCTCCCTGTGCCCGGGTCATCAGGGTGGGTACCTAGTGAGGGGGAAGGGGGGGCTGGCACACAGCTGGGACCCCTCGGGACCATCCAGGGTGCGCTCCGACCTGGGCAGCAGCCAGCCCAGAGGATGTGGGGATGGTTGGGGGGTGACACCGGCTGCGGGGAGGGGCATAGCCTGGCTGGGGGTCACTCTCTGCCCCTGGGGGGGGATGTGGTGGGATGTGCTGTTCCTCCTCAGCTGAGCCCCCCTCCTCCACCCCCACCCTCCAGCATCCCGGCCCAGAGGAGGGGGGTGTCCCCCCCAAACCTGCCCGACAAGTCCTGTCCCCCTGCCCGGGCAGGGAGGGGCAGGAGCCAGCGCATCCCCCCGTCCCGCTTCGGGCGGATCGAAGCCCCCCCTCCGCTCCCTCTCGAGGGCTCCGAGTGCTCCCCCACAGCCAGCCCAGCCTCTGCTGCCAGAGAACGCATGGAAAAATTGCGGGGTGAGGGGCCAGGGCCCCCCAGGGTCGGGCATTCATTCCCCGAGCATAGAGCGGGGAGGGGGCCGGGCCCCGCTTTGTCTGCCGAGATGAAAGGCGAGGGGCCAGCCCGGCCCCCTCCCCAGCCCGGGGGGGCAGCGGGGCCGCCCGGGGGCCACCGGGGTCACAGGGGAGGATTAGTGCCGGATTAGAGGCGCCGGGGGCACCGACACCACCCACGCGGTGCCATGGGAGGGAGGAGGCCACAGCCCCCAGAGCAGTTTTGGGGTCACTCGCGGGCCCCTCCATCCCGGCCCCCAGCCCAGCCTCGCTCGGAGCAAACTGCTTTTGTTTCGGGAGCAGCCGCCAAACAACTCCCCCCACCCTCCCCGAGCCTCGGCCGTGCTGCGGGGAGGGGGCACCTCCATCCACTGCACCCCCCCAGCACCCGGGAGCAGGATGGGACCCCCAGGCCGCTTTGGGGGGGAGCGCAGGCAGAAAGAGACCCCTCCCCATCCAGACGTGCCGCCCCAGCTCTCGGGGTCCCAGAGCCCCACCCCCGCTCCCCCCAGCCGGAGGCAAACCGGAGCCGTCCCCAGGGCAGAGGGGGAAAGCGGATATTCCTCCAACCGGGGGGAAGCCGTCGGAGCCGGCTGGTTTCCATTACCGGCTGCTCCTGCCCGGCCGTGGCTTTCCCGGGGGTCTCCGGGGGGAGCAGCGGCCGGTAGGATGGAGGTTGGGGGGTAGGGGGGCGAGTCCTGCGCCCACCCCCAGGGACAGCGCGGGGACAGTCGGGAGAGCCGGGACGCGGCCCTGGCAGCACTTTGGGAATGGCGGCGGGGGCGATGGGCGCCTGCCAAGTGTCCACCTGGAGATACTAGAGCCTTCCTCCCCCCTCTCCTCCTGCTCCTCCTCCTCCCCAGGGAAGCTGTAATTCCACCCTTCCCGCTGCTGGACGCGCTCCCGGGGGGTGCAGCATCACACCCGGGGCACGGGGGGTGAAGCCAATCCCTAGTCCTGGCACCTTCCCCTGCGTTCACCCCCTCAGGGCCCCCCCATCACGCCAAAGGCTCAGCGGGACCCCGGTGCTGATGGGGGAAGCGGGGCAGTGCCCCCCACCTTCCCCACAGCGCTTCGGGGGCTGCCCTGGCTGAGGGGCCCTGGCAGGGCATGGGAGGGGCTGCACCTCAAACCCCCCCAGGGAAGGGCCCCCCCTGCACCCCGACCCTCCCTGCACTGCCCCATCTTAGCCCCCAGGGCAGAAGCAAGACGAGCCCCCCCCCATCCCGGGGTAATTAATGCCACCCCACGCAGGGCAATTAGGAGAATGCCCGGGAAACCCCTGGAGACGCATCCCGGAGGGCAGCGCCCACCCTGGCTCCTCCGGGGTCTCTCCTGTCCCCCCCCACCTCGTGCTGGTGCTGAGGCAGAGTCCAACACGCCATCCCCACGCTGTCCCACCGTCACCCCACGGTCACCACCCGCTTCCCACGCCAGGATGTGCCAACCCGGCCGCCGCCTTCGCCCCCGGCCCCTTGCGCAACGGCCGGGGAGCGGATCCAGGGTGTGGGATCCGGGATGTGGGATCTGGGGTGCAGGATCCAGGGTGTGGGATCCGAGGTGTGGGATCTGGGGTGCAGGATCCAGGGTGTGGGATCCGAGGTGTGGGATTCGGGGTGCAGGATCCAGGGTGTGGGATCCGAGGTGTGGGATCTGGGGTGCAGGATCCAGGGTGTGGGATCCGGGATGTGGGATCTGGGGTGCAGGATCCAGAGCGTGGGACCTGGGATGTGGGATCTGGAGTGAAGGATCCAGGGTGTGGGATTCAGGGTGCAGGATCCAAGGTGTGGGATCTGGGATGTGAGATCCAGGGTGTGGGATCCAGTGTAGGATCTGGCATGTGTGATTTGGGGGGCAGGATCTTGGGTGGAGAATCCAGGGTATGGGATCCGGGGTGCAGGTTCCAGAGTGTAGGATCTGAGGTGCAGGATCTGGGGTGTGGGATCCGTGCATGTGCCAGCAGGGCCGGGGACAGGGACACCACAGGGGGGTCGTAAGACTTTTATTGAGAAGGGAGGGAGGTGACGCCGGGGGGGTTTTGGACCCGGGGGGGGCTCGGACCTGGCACTGCCCCAACTGGGGGGGTTTGGTGTTCCCGTCTGGTACCATATTCACAAATAAATACTGGGGAGGGGGCGCGGGGCAGGGCTGGGGGCTGCGGGAACCAACAGCAACCCGAACCCGAAGCAGTTCAAAGCAGCCCAAAGGCCAGGGAGGGGCCGCATTTACCCCCCGCCGTGCCCCGGCACCTCGCCAGGCTCCGGGCGCTCCGGCCGCTGCAGAGCGGGGCCAGAACAGGAGATTCTCCTGCTCCCGGAGAGCCCCCGCCCTGTGGAGGGGGGAGGAAAGCCGTGTGTGTCCCTCCAAAAAACGGGGTTGGGCTGAGGTTCCCCCTCCCAGTGGGTGGGGGGGTGAGTGGAGGGGACTGAAGGGACACGGGGGGGTAGGGGACAGAGGGGCTGGGTGGGGGCGGGGTGGGGGGGATTAGCAGAGCAGGGCGGGGGTCACTCCCGAACGTAGACCCTGGTGCAGACAACGTCGTCAGCCGTCATGGTCTGCAAGGAGAAGTAGGGTCACGGCACGGCCCCCTCTCCATCCCATCCCATCCCATCCCATCCCATCCCATCCCATCCCATCCCATCCCATCCCATCCCATCCCATCGGAGTTTCCCAGCCTGCACTGGGGCAGCGCTGTCCCCGGTCCCTCCCCTCCCTCTCCCCCCTCACCAGGATGAGCTCCCCGTCGTTGGTCATCTCCCGGGACCAGCCCGTCTTGGGCCCGTCGCCCTTGAGCAGCCGCTGCTCACACACCATCTTGTTCTCGCTCTCCCACCTGGCCAAGCTCTGCAGGGGGGGGGGAGAGGGCAACATTTGGAGAGGGGAGGGGGCACCCAGCAGGACACCCCTCCCAAATGCACCAGAGCATCTGTCACTGCCCCTGAGAGATGGACAGGGCCGTTTGCCCCTGCACCAGATGGGCGTGCGGGCTCATCTGTCACCTGGGGAGGGATGTGGGGAGGGAAGAGGGGGTGGGGGGCACGGGGAGAGGGTGGGGACACGGGGAGAGTGGGAGCAGGCACTGCGTTCACCGTGTGGGCAAAAACACCCGTGTGCACAAACGCGTGCGTGCACATCCACGGGCACACACCCACGCGTGAGGGCTCCTGCCCTGGTGCCTGTGTGTGCACCCGTGTGCCAGCTGTGCACACGCACCTCGTGAGGGCTCCTGCCCCTCTCCCCCGCGTGAAACCTGCGAGCACAAATACACACGGAGGTGCACGCGCGCACACGCGTGTGGGCACGCACCAGAGCTCACGTGACACGCGTGTGTGTGTGCCTGCAGGCACGACTGTGCACGCACACTTACATGCTTGCACACGTGTGCACACACATGAAACCGTGTGCGTGCTCTGTGGCGAGCGCAGCTGCTCCCCCGGGTGCACAAGCACACGCGCGCCCACGCGAAAACACGCGTGTGCCGGCGCCCACCTTGCAGGGCCGCCCGTCCACCGTCTGCTCCTCGAACTCCTCGCCCACCCTGAAGCGGATCTCGGTGGTGCGCACGGGGGTCGAGGTGCGGATGTAGAAGCTCTCGCCGTCCTGCCGGATCTCCACCGCCGGCTTGGCCGCCGCCGCCACCGCGATCTTCCGCAGCATCATGTTCACGCCTGGCCGAGGGGGACGGTGGCATCGAGCTCCCTCCCTTCCCCTCCCGCAGCGTCCCCCCGGCGAGCTGCCCCTGCCCCAAACCGGGGCGGTTCGGGGCCCTCGGGGCGACGCGACCCCCTCCCCTCCCCCAAAACCCGCGGTGAGAACGGGGAGGGGTCGCGGCGGCAGCCCCCGCGCTTGGCAGCGACACCTCTCAGGGCACCCCGAGCGCTGCAGGTGGCTCAAGGCGACCCACGGAGGGGGGGACGGGCGAGTTTACCCCCCCCCCGGCCACATCTGGGCCACATCTGGCTCTCGTTACCTGGTGGAGGCGGGGTGGGGGTGATCCCGGGGTTGGCGCCGGATGCGCCCGGGGGAAAGCACGGGGGGTGACGGGGGCGAGGGCTCACCCAGCGCGGGGTGACGGCGGGGACAAGGGCCCCGGTCCAAGCGCTGCGCCTGGTGACCCGCGTGACCCCCCCCGAGGGGTCCCACGTCCCCCCCCCCCTCGCCAACCGCGGGGCAGCTGGGGCTTTGTCCCCGCTCCAAAGGCGGCTCATCCATCATGTCCTGGAGCCCCCGCCTGTCACGGGGGGAGCTGCTCTTTGGGGACATTGTTCCCGTGTCACCCTCCGGGTGGGCACCGGCCACACCCCCTGCGCCCCCCGAGAGGGTCCCCGCACAGAAGGGGCTCACCCCCCGGCCCAGGGACGGGGGGGGGACACATGGAGGGTCCCAGCTCCCCGGTGGGGACGCGGGGGGGATGTGGGTGCTCAGGGGGGCTCCGGGAGCCGAACCCCCACGCAGTGGGGAGGGACACGTCCCTGAGGGGTCCCCACGGACACCCCCAGGTCCATTCCCTCCCCCCCGAGGCCTCATTCACACCAGGGGGTGCCCAAAACCACGCGTGGGCAGACACAGCCCTACACATGATGCCCACGAGGGGGGAGGAAAAGGAAAAACACCCCCCAAAGGGAGCAAAAACGAGGAGAGGGAGCATGATGCAGCCAGCCTGGGGGGATGATAACCCCCCCCAGCCCCTCTGCCAGGGGTGTCTGGGGGTACCAGCCGGGGGGGCAAAGGGCAGGAGCCCCCCGATCCCGCCGTGGGAAAGGAAGAGGGCTCAGGGAGGGGCGGGGGGGGGGATGGAGGATTTATTTTCCTGCTGAGGTTTCCCCGAGCCGGTTCCAGCAGCGGGGCCGGAGGGGGAGGGAGAAGGGGCGACGGGGGAGCGGGAGTGAAACCCAAGAAAGTGATAATTATCCTGAAATATTCGTTACGTATCCCCTAACCTGGAAAATATTCTGCTCCGGCAGCTCTCCGGCTGGCGAGGAGCGGGTCAGGCGGAGGGGAGCAGTGCAGGGGCTGCATCTGATCCTGCCCAAATCCCCGGGGACCCCCAGAGCCTGTGCCCCCAACTCAGTTCCACCCCCTGCGAT